ATTGATAAATATTCCAGCATTGTTCAGTGTGTGCAGCAGAGGTCCGAGCACTACAGCACATTTCCATTCACTGGCATTTTAACATGCATGTTCTTTAAAGTGTCTTGTGAAGTTTATAGTACAAATTGGCTCAGCTTTTAGGCTATGTCTAGACTATGTTCTGTTTTCGAAAGAGGATTTTTCGAAAGTGAAAGTAGTTTGCCCACTTTTTTCAGGAAAAAAAACCCTTTTTGGAAAAAAAAAGTTCTTCCTTAAAAAATTAGGTTTACGTGTTTTTTTCCTGAAAAAAGTGGGCAAACTACTTTCACTTTCGAAAAATCCTCTTTCAAAAGTGAGATTGGAAGAAGATATTGAAATTCCCATGGAATTTGCATATCCTCCTTCAAAAAAAAACACCTTAGTTTAGAAGTACCCTTCATGAGAGAAACTTCCACTTGACAATCGATTTTTGCAGGCACTTTGGGTGCTCAGTTAAAGTTTCACTGTTCTTTTACATTAATTTTGTCCTTTTCTAAATAAAATAAAGGCAGAATCAACAGAAAAGACAGACACCAAAACAGATCCAAACATAAACAGTTTTTGTTACAGTATATGTCACTATTGAATCTGCTTACTACTTATTTTCTGAATAACAGAAAAATCTTATTAAACTCATCCATGCATCTTCCATTCCTACACTTGCAATGAGAGTAAATTAATAAACACAACATGCATTCACAGTCATTTTATTAATAGGCATTTCTTAACACCAATCAGATAATATACACCAGACTCAGTTTTTGTTACAGTATATGTCACTATTGAATCTGCTTACTACTTATTTTCTGAATAACAGAAAAATCTTATTAAACTCATCCATGCATCTTCCATTCCTACACTTGCAATGAGAGTAAATTAATAAACACAACATGCATTCACAGTCATTTTATTAATAGGCATTTCTTAACACCAATCAGATAATATACACCAGACTCAGAAAAACAGGAGAATAATCACAATTATACTCTAAGATATTACATTGGTGGCTCTCAGAAGCTTATCTTGAGTAAACCTGAAAAAAAATAAGGTTAATTCTGGATATTCAGAGCCAGCTTCTATTTCCCTATACACATGCCTATTGGAGATACCATAAATACATCTGAAAGCAAGGTTATTTAACTGAAAATACTTATTTAAGCTCGCAACCTACTATCTGATTCATGCCAAAGGAAGAGTCCGCCCACTCTCATCCGATTGTAGGATCATGGGCCTTAATTATCTGAGGCAATTGGCAAGTTTTAAAAGGCTACCACAATGCATAAGTCCCTATGCACAGCTGCATTCTTTACTGAAAACTGATCCCAAATTATTTATAAGGCAACTAGTTAAATTTGACTTTATGCTGCAATATGATATCGCTACTTAATGGTAGCTAAGCCAAAAAACGTGTTTACCACTTTTGACAGCACAAGCAGAACTAACCTCTCCTGCGCAGAGAAGCAAAAATTGATACACAGATATTACTGTACTTATATACATCAAATTTGAATGCTGAATTTGCAGATCTGAATAGAAGTCAGCAAATTCTGAAAAAGTAATTTGTTGAATTAACCATTTATTTGTTTTCAAACTAATTTGAAAACCTTTCATTCAAACTGCTTCTGAAATATTCAGAGTATCGCTTACTCCAGCAGACCTTCTAGAAACAACAAGCTACCAATCCTCAGACCTTTTTTTGAAAAAGTCTTTGACAACTATTTTCTTTTCCTATAGCTACTATTTTCTGAAAACAACCTCTCCTAAAAGATTCTACAGACTGAATCTCTCTAGTCCAGCACTTTTTGATATGGCAACATCTGTGGCCTGGCATGATTTTAGTTAGCAGGATGTCCACTTATCATTGGTGTAGGCATTTCCCATAGTCCCATAAAGTTTGTTTACAGCCATCAGTCCTGGCTTTCAGTATTCTGTGCTGTTATTAAGCTCTGTTTTACCCCTAAATATCTTCTAAGAGCTGAGAAAAGTAGTGGAAGTATAGGCAATGCTGCTAGACCAGTGGTCTCCAACTTTTTTTCATTCAAGATCACTTTTTAAATCTCAGAACAAACGAAGATCTACTGCCCAACCCCTCCCCCCAAGATCCCACCCCTTCCTTGAAGCCCCGCCCTCTCTATTCTCCTCCTCTCCATCATTTGCTATCCCAGCCCTGATGCTCTCTACACTGCCACTTTTCTTTCCGACTCTTCTATGGGAAGAGATTTTTCCAAAATTTGGGCCTGTCTAGACTGGACCACATGTCAGAAAACCCCCTACTTTTGGCATCCCCCTATTCCAAATGAGGAATATAGGGGTTACCGAAAGAGCATGTTTGCTCTTCCACTAAAAAAATGGAAGAACAAACACATCCCTGGATGCAGAAGAGATTTTCCAAGATATCTCTGGGATCCTGGAAAAACTCCTGCAGTCTAGCCGTACCCTAGCTGGGTTGAGACAGGATGTGTAGGCTCTGGGGTGGGAATGAGGGATTTGGGGGTGGGAAGGGGTGAGAGGTGCAAGCTCTGGGTGGAAATTTGGATGCAGGAGTAGGTGGAGAAGGGGATGCCAGCTCCGGAAGGGAGCTCCAGGCTGGGGACTGTTGGGGTCAGATGGAGTGTTGGGGTACTAAGCAATCCACATGCTTATGGATGTGAGGGTGCAGGAATTTGGGTTGGAGTATGTGAGGGGCTCAGGGCAGGGGGATCCAGGGTATGACAGGCTCAGATCTACGGTCTGGGGGGAGTGCAGGAGTGTTATGATGCTGTGGCCAGATGGGGGCTTGGCCCCATTTGGGGGTTTGTTGACCAGGCTTCATTTTTAAATAAAATATTATGTCAAACACAAAAAGCTTCTGCATTGTCTTTATTTATGAGAGGGGCAGGGATCACTGACCCACAGAAAAGAAGTCAGTTGGGGCCACACAAGGGAGATGCAAAAAAACCCAAAACACCCCTCCTTCAAAAACCCCCACGCCTCACTAATGTGGCCATAACTCTACTGGTGGGAACCCGGGACGTGGTACTGGGAAAGGGTATTAATGGGTGCTGAGGCAGGGGACAGGGTGGCAGTGGGGGCAAGGTTCAGGGTTCTGGGGTGTGGGCAGGAGGCAGGGTTCTGCAGCAGAGGGCATGGTGTC